AGTAAGACCATAAATAGTGTCACTGACTGGCAAAAATAAGAGCATAAATTGTGTTCTAGTTTGTGATGTATATGTGTACTATCTAAATAATAACACAACTCATGCAATGCAGACAAAATTTATAATTCCGGTAGTCTCAGAAAATAGTTAAGCAATGCAATTTCTGTTAGAAATCAATTAAAGGCCAAGTTTTGGCAGTTGATTGCATTTCTCGTGTTGAGTTTAGTTTATTTCTGTCTGTCAATTGCATTACTATTAAGTACTTGCATAAGTAACATTATGCAATTGCATGAGGACCAATATGCAATTGCTTATTTAATCCTTGTTGCCTTTTAATGTTTGATCACTTTTATCGTCTTTTTCACTGTTTTCTGTCTATTACACTTTGCATGCTTTAGGTTTTTCTTGTTTATGTTTCCTGACTTTTGTATAAGCCCTAGTTTTACAGTCTGTCTAACCTCTTTGATATTCTTTCTATTTTGTGTAAGATCTCTAATTTGATGTCAAGAAATGATTTTTCATTCTCTGTTTGACATAGAGGCTGGACCAAACTATTGGTTAAGGCTATGTTTTAGGGTAGTTTAGTTCAATGGTCATACAAGGATATCTTCCAATTTGAATATATTTTAGGGGAGTTTAGTTCAATAAATCTGTTTTATTGAAATACCTCTCTCGTTGAATCTGATTTTCATTGGATCATGGCATAGTGTTGTTTTTCATAATAATCATATTCATGTAATAATTATATCCATAAAATATGTTCTTGATGTTAGAGTCATACATATGATTGAATTTTTTATATTAGAGTAATACATAGGATTCACATTCTATATTGCATTTTGTAACACAATTGAGAATAATGATTTTTATTTTATGTTTTATGTAGGTGTTCAATGTGTTTCCCATTGGATGAGACTTGTTGAGACTAATCTTTATATTCTATATTTTACGTTGTAACCTATAATGTTTTGAAGACAATTTGTTTTAGATATATAGCCCCTTTTTGTTGGATTTTTGGTTATGTATTTAAAGTTATTTAATTTATGCTATTGTAAGTAAATGCAATTGTCATGCCAGAATATACCAGTTACAGATTAAAAATTACAAATTACCTGCTCTTGATATTTTGTAGTTATACGTCATTTTGAACTTAGAGTTCTCTAATAGAAAGCAAATTTTGCGCATATTGTAAATCCTTGTGTTTACAAAAATAAGGACCACATTTATACAGCCAAGTACCAAGGCCTTGGGAGAAATTTGAACATGTTTCACATATTATGCAATTGCCAACAGGCGATGATAATTGCATACTGTGATGCAATTGCCAAACAGGCAACAGTAATTGCATACAAGCCCTTAGTGTTGTAAATCGTTGCGTTTACTAGAATATGAACCACGTTTACATTTCCAAGTTCCACCATTACCTTAACTTTGTAATAGAGATCCTTTTATTGTAATTTATGATATTACAAATTTATGGATATACGTTCCAAGTTTATGGAACATGGAGGTCCAAAATATTGTAAAAGAGGTCCGTAATACTGTAAACCCTTGTGTTTACAAGAATAAGGACCACATTTACAACGTTAAAGTCTACCCTTACCTTATCATTGTAAGTGGGATCCTTTCAATTGTAAATCAGGATATTACAACGCTATGGATAAGGAAAAACCCCAAACTTGAAATCATGATGCAAAAAATCATAAATGAGAACCCAAATCTTGTAATGTACAAGATTAAGGATCTGCATTACGAGTTTATGGAGAGAGCCTACGTCAAAAGCACTGTAATACGAGTCCTAAATATTATAACCCATTGCATTTAAAA